AAGGGCACAGAAATTCGCTGTAGTTGGCATGTTTCAGGGTCGTGATTTCCAGCACACAGGATTTTTCACTGTTCACTGTTGCACAGATAACAAGGGGGATCCAGAGTCCTGGATGACAGTGGCTTGCATACGCACCAGCAGCTTGTTACTCTTCAGCTGATAAATTGAAGTGTGGGTTTATGAGTTTGATGGGACATCTTAAGATTCAGGCTAAGGAGAGCACACGTTCTACTGCAGACATGCACACTTTCACATGGAAAGACTCTTGAGGAGAACAAAATGAAATGGATAAAATCTGGCCAAAGCAGTTCCTTTTTGAAGTGAAGCATGTGCACTGCAGAGTTCACCACACCCTGATGAAGAGCATCAGGTTGAGAAACCCAAGTGGGTTCAGTTTGGTTTCCAAAATAATGCTCTTTCCCTTTAATCAGAGAGATGTAAAACAGGTTGGGCTCTGCAAACTCAGCCCAGAAACATTACTTACGACACAGAGATGAATCACCACCCTGGCAGATTTTTGTTCCTGTAGGAATTGCTTTGCAAAACCAGAGCTAGAACTGCAGGGTTTGTCTTTCTTTCCCTTGGTGGTATGAAGGATAACAAAGTAAAATATTAGTCTGTTACATTTTCTTCCCTCCACCTGCTGTTTCTTTTGAATTCAAACTATCCTTCCTCAAATTGCTGGACAGTTCACTGCAGTGGCTGTTGTGTTAAAATGATCAGTCAGCAAGAACTTAATAATTGTTGGTGTCTGTGAGCTGGCAATAAACATTTACTGTTTATTGTGCTAGCTGTGTATTTAACTTCAAGCCAGGAGGAACATTTGGAGAAGTATCTCCTTATTGATTAGACCAGGAGAAGTACTTCTGAGCTCTCTGGGGTTGCTTTCAGAAAACGTCACCCAAAAAGAGAGAGACAGCAGCTCATGTGGTTTGGGGGTACCAGATCAAGAAAAACATGAGAGCATAATTGTTAATGTTTTCCCATGTTTTGAACCGCATACATCAGAAACACAGAAACTTGTATTTGTCATGGGGAAAGTAGACTGCACATGATATTTTCAAGGTGACAGCTCTTTTTTGAAGGCGCCATTTGGAGCACTTAATGCAGCAGGCTAAGGAAAGACTAGATCTGGTGATTCAAACTTTTGGCTCAACTTGCTGCTGAGCAAGGAAGTTTTTTCCTTATGTGTGAAGCACAGTCAGTGTTTATACTTTTGCAAACTGGAACACATGAGGGAGTAAAATCAGGAAGGCAGGAAACTGGAGGCACTTTTGAAGTCCTGGATCTATTATGAAGTCCATCAGCTTCCCTTTGGCTGCAGTCAGCAATGTGTTTAGATGGTGCAATACAAGAAGTAGTCATGCTACCTCTGAACTGAGTTAGCTTTAATAGCAAAGTAATAAAGTGGCATCGCTATTGTACACTGTCTCAGCTAATTATCTTGCTCATAAGCTACAGTGAGCTCCGTAATGGCATGGGTGGGCTCTTTCTGGTCTCTAAATTAGCTCAGGGGGCTTCTCACACAGAAGGGAGTTTTAAAAGAGAGGCCCTTCTTTACATTTTGCAGTAGTTACCTGTTGCTGCAGTCACTGTGAGTAGTCAGACTCTCAGAAGTCATTGCTGGCTGATACATAAAGCACTGTAAATAGAAGCACTGCCCTTCCTCTGCTTGAGATAAGCATAAAAACATGGGTCCTTTTGCCTGTTTGGGTTAGTAAAGCCTTATTTTAAGACATAATTGCTCAGAAAATTGCCAGCTAGAAAGAGTTTTCAAGATGGTGTGTAGCTTCCTACAAGCTCTTCCATAGTGTTCATTGGTGTACTTCCAGCTGATAGAGGACCTGGAAAAGGGAGAAATAGGACTGGCACAAAAGTGTTGCAGGATCCTGCTGGTATTCAAGGACACTCTTGCATAAACACAAGAAGCATATTTTAACTATTAAACAGCCAAAAGCTCACAGCCATTTTGGGGGGCTGAGAAAACAGATCTCACAAACAGCTGAATATTTTCACAGACTCAGTTTGATGTCCTGTAAAAGCTGCTGTTTCTTCTGTTTCTGTTCTGATGGTAGGGGCACCTTCAGCTTTCACCTGCCCTCTCTACAGTCAAGTGTACCTGAAGTTGGTGTTGCACCTGAGGTGATTTTTTTTGTCCTGGAGTTTATGTTTTTGAGAAAGAGCTTTGCAGTTAGAACGATTTTTTAATGTTTTTTTGCTTTATGTTAAAGCAAAACAAATCACACCATGGGAATATAAGAAAATATCTGGGACCAGACTAACCACTTCCTTGTCAGTGTTTTCTGATCAGTTTAATCCTTCTAATTCTGGCATTTTTACAAAATTGTAAGTATCTGCTCTGTTGGTAAAGGCACTAAGCTACTGTAGTGCTTCTGGCTGGCACAAGGAAAAATAAGTATCTCATATATAGAAACAATTGCAATTATTGCTGCATGAAGCTTTTGCTACCTTTTACCTCAGAAGGTAAGGTGTTTGCACACTGTTGTCTTAGACTATTGATAAATGCTACATTTTGTAAGGGACAGATGAAGTCAGGATATTAATCCCTCCAAAAAACTCATAGCAACTCTTCCATGAAATCCTATTGCCTTGCTCAGGCCTGCATGTTGGTTTTCTTTCAACATCAAGTTAATATTTTTTCTTCTGTAGAAGTGCGAGTCACAAAGTTGGCTGTTAGGTGATTAAGTAGTGCCTCGTAAAGATGTAAGCAACCCAGCACCAGCATGTCTCTGCTTGCCATATAGCTAATGCCTGATGGGCTGGGTGTGCACACAATCTGCCTTCATACAGTCACTGCATTGGTAACACTGCTTCAGGAGAACCACCTGGGCGAGCCCAGCAGAGAAGTGAGATGGTAGCATGGGCGAGGTGCTGCTGCACATGGCTGAGCCCCCAGCCCAGGCAATGCTTCCATCCTGGGCAATGATGCTCTGCCATCAGTTGGTCTTGGGAAGCAAGACTGAACTTTGGCAGACCATGTGCTGCCCACTGGAGTGATGGTGGCAGTGGATGAGATGAAGCACACCAGGTCTTGTGGTGCCTCAGCACTTCCTGAGTCTGCTCATGGAGAGAGACACCCCTTCACCCATAGGTTTTGCGCTTAACCACAAGCAGTTGTACACCTAGCAGAAACCATCACCTCTAGATGTCCTTGTCATTTCACCCTTCTGCCAGAAGCTGTGAATCTTGTATCCAATAGCAGTGAGGTCAGTGATGCTGAGCAACTTCTTTTATGGCCAGGTGCCCCTTTTTTTGCCATTTTAGAGGGGTGGCAGAGAGGCTGGGAGCAGGAGCATCCTCAACAAGGATGAATTGCACTGTGACAGTGTGTTAAATTCCTCTTCTTGGCTGTTTCCTTTGATACTCTGCCTGAAGTGCTGCCCTCTCTCCTGCACTTCCACATCGCATACTCCACCTCCAAGCCTCCTGTAAACTCCCTGCAAGAAGAGTTTGGGTTAAAATAATGGGCTAAAAAATGAAATGTAGGCACATCTTTGCTGTCGCTTTCAGTCTTCTCAGTCATCTGCCTGCTTACAGGAAAAACAAAGCAGTTAGAAAGCAGAAAGAAACTTTTTGGCATAAGCAAGAGAAAGGACACAACATAAACCTGCAAATATGGTGCAACAGCTAGAAAGGAGCAGGGATTACAAAGCATGGGGGGATGGTGAAAAGCAAACAAAGAGGGAAATTGTTTTTTATGGGAAGATCAGAAGAAAAGTAGAGCTGGAAAATCCTGATGCATTTTTTTTTAGTCTGATAGCAGAGGTGGTGTGGGGCCTGGGAGAAGAGAGGTTGAGCACCAAGGTGTCACTTGAATGGTGGCTTTCATACCTAACTGGCACTTGCCAGGGGGAAAGGTAGGACACTTCGCATTTTATTACTTGCATATTTGAAGCAAACTAGTTGGCAGGTTACTGGGTATCAATAACCTTAACTTGCTTGGTTCCAGAGTGAGCTTTTACTGAAGAGTGTGTACTGCATTTGAGTTGTAATTACAGTCTGACTTGTTTGGGCTGTGATAATTTTTCAGCACTGCTGCTGTATATATGGTTAGAAGCTGATACCCTACAAGTGCATAGTATAGGCCAGGGGGTGAAGTCTGTAGATGCCCAGTAGACTTTCACTGCCTACTCCATGTACATACATGATTTTAAAAGTGTCAGAGTAGGCTTTTTACATTCCAAAGAGGAGACACTTTGATTTCTTTGCAAGTAATTGCCCCTCCAGACATAAACCACTGAATAAATATCTTTTTTTCCCAGTTCTTATGCTAGCATGATACACTTTCCTCTGACATGTTATAACACAGATATATAATTTGAAAATGAAAGTATCTTGAACAAGCTTTTCAAAATGAAACGGTTCTGACTTTGGATCAAAAACAGAGGTCAAATTTCCCTACAAAACAGACTCCAGATCTTTAGCTCCATTTAAGATACAGAGATAAACACAGGCTGCAAAGACAGAAACCACTGAATTTTGACATCAGTAGACTATTGCCATACCTTTAACTTTGCATGCCGGAGTGGTATGAGCATTTGTACAAACCCTTTTTTTTAAAGGAAGAATTTAGTTAGTTTCAGGGACTGTCTAATTCTCCTTCCAAAATGCTGCTGGTTTTATGGCATCTGCTGAGTTAATGACATTTGTTATTGAAGGACAGTGTCCATTCTTACACCTTTATAGACATTTTATCTTGATTCATAATTGTTAAATCTAAAGAAGAAACTTGCACACAAGCCCCCTTGCATTCTGTATGAAAGGTCAAAGCTGACATTTCTAATCCATTCTGCACTGAGCGGATGGTTTCTTGTGGAGCTAAAATGTTAACGTATGAGAGAAGAGAAATCTCCCATGCTTTCCTTTTTGGGAGCTGTCCTTCTCACATTTTTTAAAATTAGCCTTTCATTGTAAACCAGAGAAAAACACTGCAAGGGATTTTTTTGTTCTCTTTTAATGTATCTTCCTTCTGATTTCAGCTTGGGGAAGAGCTGCTGCTGCCACATACCTGGTTGGCTTTATACTTCTAGTCATTTGTTTTGCTCTGGCCATCATAGCATTTGCTATTGACACACTTCGATTCAACTTCATACGCGGGATTGGAGGCTTGCTTTTTGTCGCTGGTAAGGCAGTATATGAAGTCCAAGTTTATCCTGTGCAGATATATCCATACTAGAACTGATATTTCCCTCAGCTGATTCTATGCCCAAGTCTTTGCGTGCACCTGAGCTCTCTATGACAAATAATACAAAGTCTGTAAGGCAGTGGACCGATTTTCAAATCCTCCAAAACACGGGTGGGTTTAGCTACAGGTGGTTATGGAGGTAGGCAACGTGATGGGTGTTAAACATTTTCTTGTTTTCTTCTGTTTCTTCAGCTGTATTCTCCATCATGGGCCTGGTTATTTATCCAGTAAAGTTCTCAACTGAAATTGAAATGACGGGAATCAATATGTTCAGCTGGGCCTATGGCTTTGGCTGGACCACTGCCATTATGGAAATATGCTTGGGATTCTTCTTCTGCTGCCTTCCTAACTACGAAGATCAAATCTTGGGTAATGTGAAGCCCACATATTTTTACTCTTCCCCGTAAGCACCAGGAAAAAAGGGTTCGTATTCCAGAGGTATCTGTCAGACCAGCTACATTTTCTAGAATATTGTCGTTGGATGTTAGTAGAAATGGCTGGAAACTTTTCAAATGCGTGTAGAAAAATGATACTGGAATTCCACAATAAAGTTATCCACTCTATTTTGGACCTTCATAGTTGATGTGCATTGGTTAGATAGTCTAAACATTAAAAACACTTGTGTTTCCTCATTCATTCCTGTGAGTGAGGTATGTGTGCATTCCACTGCATCTTAAAGGCATTCATTTTTCTAATTAAATTCAGAAAAGCTTTTTAAACTGCCAAGAAACTAAACAATATATAGCATCTTCCTGAGGGAAAGGAAGACCCCACCCCCCCCATTTTGTATGTATTATCTTTATCCTGAAGATATTGCACATTTTTTAAGAAGCCAAATACCTTTACCCACTGACTGCCAGAGTAGTAAATTAGTCAGCCAGCACTTCATAGCTTTGCTTCCATTTCTCATTCATTCACTTAAGACTTAGAGACAGGGTAGGACAAGGACGAGAGAAGCCCCCTATCAAAGATAGGATCTTGACTTTTACCCATCCATGTGGAATATAAGTATTTATTTCTAAATACCTGTAAGAGTAAGAAAGGACCTTCAGTAAACTTAAAAATCTCAGTGTGCCATTGATAGGGCCAGCACAGAGTGGGCAGAGGTAGAGGCAATTTCAAGCCACTCCTGCAACCTGGTTTGAAGAGGCTCCTGGTGTGGCTTTGTTCATGAGCATCTGCCTCTTCTAACTACTGTATCAAGATCTATGTCTTTAAAAAGCCCTGCTATACTGGTCCAGCCCTTTTATCCACTGTAGAAGGGTCAAGAAGGACTTAAGCAGAGCTATACTGTTGTACATTACTGTAAAATGTATAAGTACCTCTTACCATCTTATACTAAGGCTCTCATAGAGAAAATCATGTCATAAAGCACATTTCAGAATTTTACACTCCAGAGTGCTGCAAGCATCAATATACTGCAAGCAATGAAGTATTCTCAAGCCTCTGCTGGTTTCTGCCTTGTTAACCCTAACTTTATAATGCTCCATTTCTTCTCTTAAGTGAAAAAATTGATAATTTTGCTATGAGGAGAAATAAATCTTTATCAAAATCCTTAGCTACAGAGGTTTATTACCTTGTAACACATCTGCAATTTTTTAACTATGTGTACCCTGCCAAATATCTTCACTGCAAAGAATGAGGGATAGAAAACATTTTTTAGTAGAAGCTCTGGGTAGCTAAAATTAATGAAGACACCAGACTTAACTGCTTAAAAAAGAGCCCTACAGGTTAACTTTGTTCACTTTTATGGAGTGTCTTCTAACTTTGATCAATAAACATGAGAGATGTATCAGACCAGTGAGGAGAGTAGATGCACCAGGGAATAGTTAGACAAGAACTTGCAAATACATTAAGAAGATGTTTCCTAATTGGAAGGATATGAAAATGCAATAGAGTTGAGAAAGCAGTTTGTATAAAATAGCTTGCAAGTCTTTGTGTAATATGATCTGTTCAGGAAAAATATTATCATAAATTTTTTATTGTGCTTATTATACCTAATAAATAATGGTATCAATGTATTGTTTCAATGATGAGTCTTAGCTTTTGTTCTCTACTAAGAGTGGGGAAGTGGGAAAGCCCTCAAAGCCTCCTCTTCTCAGGCACCAGCTTGGAGCACCTAGATACACTGGCTGGATTTTGAGAGGGGAGAGAGTAACTTACTTAGAAATCTAACATCATGACATACTGTTACTCTTCAGTCCTATTTATTTTGGCTGTCTCCTGAGGTCTTGTTCACAAGCACATGACAGTAGAGGACGTGGTCTGTTTGCTCATGTTCAATGGGGTGACATGCAGCACAGTTCTCTGCTATAGTGTGCTACAGCTCCTTTTGGAGGGGAGGGTAATACACTCATGTTCACCAAATAGGAAGCCAGTGTGGTCTTGCTTGAAGTTTTTGCTCCCACAGATGTGGCAATCCCCTAAGGAAGCAAATGGGAAGTTGAGCGATTACTAGTTATATTTACAGTTTAGCATTAGCTGGACACTGACCCAACATCTTGAGGTGGGGAAAGGTGCACAAAACAAGGTTTAGGAGTGTGACTCCAACCTTGATGAAAGAGCAGAACATAATTAAAAAACAAACAAAATCTACAGTGATCATCCCCCTTCCTCCCTCCTCTCCCTTACTGCTCTCAGCAACTTCACCAGCTCCTCTCTCTCCTTCTCTTCCTCTTCCTCCTCCTTAAGAGCAACACAGCAGTGTCAGGGCTGGTGGTGATGCGGTGATGTGGGATGCAGCTCCATTCCCCACTACCACTTTCCCCTTCCTGGGACAGAGGAGGAGTGAAGCAACTTTGCTGACCTCACCACAGCAGCAGGACCCTAGCCTGGATCCCTGTGCCTAGGCTCCCATGGGAAAAGGCTTTCTTTAAATACAGGAGGGAGTTGAGTGCGTATCCAGCAATCAGAAGCATCACCATCACAGGAGCTAGAGCTCAAGTGCCTGCCTTTAGGGTACTTTGCTTCCAGCCATGCCCTGCCTTTAGGGTAGTTTGCTTCCAGTTGTGCCAAGCCAGCTCACCACAGATCCCTAGAAAAATACATCCTAAACCCTGAGGCAGAAAATCTGAGAGAAAAAAGCACAAAACTGTTGCATACACCCCAGTGCTACTTTCTGTCTGTAAGTACTGAGAGAGGGGAGCATGGCAAAAGCAGCATGCAAAATGCAATCAGTTCTGACAGAAGAGGAAGCTGAATCCAGAAGCCTCCAGAAGAGTGTGCCTCAACTAGATTATTAACTGACCAGGTTATCAACTAGCTAGGTTATCAATTGTTAGTCTACAGCCAGGTCAGTAGATTATTAACTAACCAAATTGTTAGATTAATTTGAGCTATGTCATCATCCGAAAGTTTGGATTTTCAAGCAAAGGAGAAATTAGAGGAAGGGAAGACATCCCTTTAGTTCTGCATCTCTTTTCTGCAGGGCTCTCACTCTAAATTTTGCCTCTAAGAGAAACAGGCACTTATCCATCAAGAGCAGCACAATAGAAGAGTATACACTTAAAGTTTCATTGTGCCCAATGGCAATGCTAAAGAGAGAGCAGGAAAGAACAGATGCCTGCAAGATTTGGCTTTTGGGAACACCAGGTCTGTTACAACAGCAGAAATAAAGACTTAACTGCTAATGGTATTACCGCTGTTCCCATCAAATTAAGAATTAGGGCAACATCCTCAAACAAATGCATTGTATCTAATCCAACTATACTACTGAAAAGCAAAGGAAAAATAGTGCTGAAAACAAGTGGAATGTCAAGCAGCCCTAGAGGTACAAACTGAAGCAAAAATAAATAATTAAAAGTTTCTGCAGGTAAGTTATTATGTTCAATTTTATTTCTGATGTTTCTGCTGCAGCTTGCATAACGTGGACATCTTGGTCTTTTGAATTTTCTCTGCAAGCATGTGCATATGTGAGTATTCATTTTTCAGGCACCTGCCATTTGGTCTTAAAATATGGCCTGCCTAATCAATAATTCAAATGCAATCTAGTTTGCAATGATATTAAAGTTGCACATATTTTGTTATATGAACTAGTGCTATGAGTGAGGTTTTGACCCCATTGACATCCCTTGCAGTGCATTTATTGATTTCCTTGAGGCTGACATTTCATCCTTGAAGTGTAAACCCTGTTTTTACATGTGCTCAGAATTAATAATATCTCTGTGGGATGCTCCACTGATTTCAGCAGCGCTGTTTACTTCTGGAGTAGGACACTGATCCATACAAGATAAGGAACAAGATTTATAGCAGACAGGATCATTCCCAGAATAAAGAACAATTCAATGTATGTAAGATCAGTAGAATCTAGGTCATAATTAAATCACATTTCATTAGATACGCAATATGGTCACAGTAAAAGATTGGTCTTTCCTTTTGACATATCTCAGTTGTACGACAGTTATTTCTTCTTATAATTGGTATTGTAGAACACTTCCTTGCACATTTCTATATTCAGTTGATTTCTGTGTGCTCTGAAGACAGCTAGATTTAATAAAAGAATGAAACAATCAACTTTGTGACAAGGGAGAACAGAGTTGGCCCTTTTGGACACTGTTGGAAAGTGGGAATCAAACCTCTTGGTAGAAGAATAGTGAACTGACTAACCAAAGAATTATTTCTGAGTCATATCAGAAACTTAAAACTGAGTATCAAATGACTGCTATGCAGTTAACAATGGGGGAAGAAAGACAAAGTCTTTTTCCTCACTGTCAAAATACTGCTTCTGCTAGAAATTTTGGTTCCAAGAAAGAATTTGTTCTTCTGCTACACCTGCATAATACTGTCTAGGCCTAAATTTTATCTGCAAAATTCTTCAGTGCTAAGTGCCAAAATCTAGAAAATCACTTGGATAACCTTAAGGTTGCAGATGGTTCTGATGGGGTCATCAAAGCTGTTTGCATAGATGGTTCCTTAGGTGACTTAATGCATTAGGGGTCATATGCCTGTTTACACACACCAGTTAGTTCCACAGATTCTTGTATATGAAGCAATGTAGTAGATATTTTTAATTTTGCTTTTCATTTTTTTTTATGGTATGAGTGAAAATGTGGGTGCATCATAGAATTTTACATGTGACTGCTGGGTGTGAGGAGTATTTATAGGAACAACTTTCAAAATAGTTTTGCTGTTTATGATAAATGTGGTGAGAGTACATCAAACTGCCCTCTCTTGGATAGCTTTTATGATACATCCTTTTACTTGTGCCACTGTTTGCCTAAGCCATCTGTTTTTCCATAAAAACAGTTTAGGGAAAACCTACTCTAATGATTCTATCATACTGAAAAGAAATTATATTGGATATCCATGGAGAACCCATCATAAAGCCTTTAAATAGCCCTTGATTGTTCAAATGCAGTTCAAACAGAGAGACTGATGTTCCCTGTAGGATTTTCCAACGGAATATTTTAAACCCAAAAGAAGCAAATTCACTCACCTATTGACTGTAGATCTCAGGATCTACACACCCAGCTTCCCATTTCTTGCAAAGTAACAAGCGCCCTAGAGCCTTGTCCTTAGCAAAACATCAAACAAATAAACAAAACACAAACCAAGAAAACAGCCAGGGAAAAATGTTACATAAAGGTATGTACATATATGTACATATACTTCGCCTCAACAATTACTCTACGGCTGACCTCAACACCTCAATGTGAGGATGGACCAAAGGTATGCAAAACACGTTTGGGTTTGCACTGTTTTTTCCAGTTTTTCATTCTTTTTGCCTCCCCTTTGGAAATGTTCTCACCTCACTTCTGAAAGCATTGCTGCTTTTTGGTGAACTGTTCCTGTTCTGCCACACCCTGTCCTGGCAAGCACACCCATGCTTGCTGTGCTCATATCTGAATTTTATATGAAGTATTAATACAAGTAGGCTTTTATTCCTTTACCCCCCCCCCCCCCTTTGCTTCATATATAAAAGGGTTTGAAGTAATAAAATATTGCCAACATTAGGCAAATTAGAGGAATGGAAGGTTTTCTCAAGCTGCTTTAGAGTTAACTCACAAAAGAAGAGAAACAAAAAAAAATAAGGTTCAAGAGAAAAACCCAGGGTAGTCTAAAAATGATAACCCAAAATCTACTTGCATTCCTGACAGTAAAATGGTTTGGGGTGATTAGCAGTCAAATTACCTTTGCAGCCCCCCTCTTCCTAGGAGTGTGTGCTCTCTGCTGCCTTGCAGTCCCCCTCTTCCTAGGAGTGTGTGCTCTCTGCTGCCTTGCAGTTTTTCACCAACATCAACAAATCTTCTGGGCACTGGTTTCTGAGTCCTCCCGTATGCAGAAGGAGGAACTGCCTGTTGCCTCTACCTTCTACAGCACCCAGGGAAGGAAGGCTGGGGGGAAGCTCGAAGGACTTATTTGGCTCTTGTGTGGTAGGGCTGGTGCTTTCATGGCAGGATGGGATGGTTACCCATCTGAGTGAAAAGTTTCTCTCAGTGTTAGCCTACAGTCCTAAATGAGATACTATTAAGTTGAAAATATCATTTTATTCAGTTGAGAGATTTATGTGTGAGGGCAAATAAAGATTAGAGACTTGGCAACTCACAGTGGTTAGCCCAAGACAGAAAAATATTCTTGTGAAATAAAAAGATCACTGTGTCAATATTTACAATTTTCCTTAAGGTACTCCCATGCATAATACATGGAAAAAGGGAGGGGACAGATGCACATATTTATCTTCATAATTGTTAGGCCTAGTGCTTC